CCCGGAAATCCCCGGGGATGATCATGCCGAATTTCGTGAACAGTTCGTGCATCGTCATCCAGATGTGTTGCTCCCACATCATAGAGAGCCTCATCGCAAGTTGGTCGAACGACTCCAACGTGACTATCTCGTGCACGGCTCCGTGCCTTTCTACGAGGTTGGCGAGATGCGGACACGCAGCGAGCAGATCGCTCAAAAGAGTGGCTTGTCCAAGAACGCCGAAGATTTGCTCAAAGTGGTGACTGTTGATCAGCCGGCGATCGCCGCATCGGAATCGCAAGTCATGGACAAGTTGCACGCCTTTCTGGTTGCTCTTGAGTATCTCAATATTTGTGATTTCACTTATGCTGCCGGTCCGTTGCGCTACCTGTCCGAGTTGGAGGAGTGGCGCCATGAAAATCGTGGTCTCGCATTGCTGCTATCGGTCGACAGTCTGATCAGGAAGAAAGTGTATCGGCTCAACTCAGATCATCGCAAGACGTTTTCGAGTTTTTCGGCTGCGTTGCTTGAAGTTCTGTCCAACCACAAACAGCTTTGGAATGACGCTCGATCCAGTGCCGAACTAGACAAGTTTCGTCAGGCGGGTCAGTCCTCCGCTCCATCGACGCCAACTCGGCGCTCGACCAAGCGTGACCGTTCGGAGTCATTGCCAAAGCAGTCTAGCAAGGCCAAGAAGAACAAAGCCAGGCGCGAGCGCGCCAAAAAGACGCTTCAGCAAGCTCGTGAACACTTGTCCGGCACCAAAAGGGATCCACCGAAGAAGGATGCTCGCATCCCAGCCGCAGAATGGTCAAAGCTTTCGTCCTTCAAATACTCCGGCAAGAAGCGCTGCATTTGGTTCAATTGTTCGCTGGGGTGTCGCTTCGCTGATCAGTGCAAGAGTCTCCACTCCTGTGTCGAATGCGGGAAGAATCACCCGTGGCACGGGAATCACTGAACTCGTGAAGCGCTCGAAGGGGTGGCCTCTTCGGCTCCAGAGTCCGCCCCCCAATTGCAGGAGCCCGATGACACGAGTGAAGTTCACTTGGCTGGATTGAGTGTGTCATCCTCGCAAGCACCATGGTCGTCTTGGGCCCAGGTGCCACGTGATGTCGCGATCGTTGCTGCAGCGGGACCTTTCTTTTTAGAGATCTTCTCCGGCACTGCAACGCTCACACAGGCCGTTCGCGCCGCCGGCATCCCAGTGTTGCCACCTATCGACGTCACCCGATGCGCCGAGGTTGATTCACCCTTCGATGTGCTTGATGCAGATCTGTGGTCCTTCGTCATGGCTGTGATCCGAGCAGGGGCTGTGCGCTTCGTACATTGCGGCACGCCCTGTAACACCTTCTCGGCTGCTCGTAAGCTTGATGGAGGGCCGCCTCCGCTCCGCTCGGCCCTTTACCCCGAAGGTCTGCCGGAGCTTTCGCTCGACAACCAAGCAATGGTCTTCCTAGGCAATGCTTTTCTCGCACGTTCGACCGAAGCCTGTGCTGCTGTGTTCCAGCAAGGTGGGAATTTCTCCATCGAGAACCCCGAGTTCAGCCTGCTTTGGAGTACGGAGGCTATTGCCAAGCTTCGACACCAGGCTCGGGCGTTCTGCGTGGATTTCGATCAGTGCGAATTTGGCGCACCGTCCATGAAGCCAACACGACTGCTCGTGTCTCACCAATCTTTTCGTGCCTTGCACTGTCGTTGCAGCAGGTCGCATAAGCATGTTAAGCTCACGGGTAAAGTTTGGTCCGAGTTTTTCCAGTCGTGGGTCTTTCGCACTAAGTTAGCACAGGTCTATCCTGGTCAGCTCTGCCAACAGTTCGCAGATATCTTGATACCGGTCTGGCTTGATCAGGGTTGGCAGTTCCGGGACAGCTTTCGCTTGTGCACTACCGATCGCAAGCGTCCGCTCGGACAGCCTCTGAAGTGGAAACAGCACCGTCAGGCTCTCTCCGCTCTGAAGGCGGAAGCTGCCGGGTACCAGCTCAAGCGCGGAGCTCGTAAGCCTTTGTTACATGTGGAAACCGAGCCGGGCATGGCCATCGCTTGGGCGCTCGATCTGCCACACCCCTTGTGCGCTGACCTGTCCTTGGATCAAGCATTAGACGGCTGCATCTCGTCTTTGGCGCAGGATCCGTTAGCTGTGTTGTCCCAGCGTGCGCGCGCACTAGCCTTCTGGGAGTCTCGTGCTCTTGAGTTGTTGCCGCTCACTGACCAGCTGATCAACTCACAAGAGGATCCATACTTGCGCCGTCTGTTGAGAGGAGCGCCAGACAATGAGCCCTGCCAGCTCGGCACCTGCTGTCATGTTGCTTTGTACTATGCAATGCTTGAAGCGTGTGATTCGGTCGACAAGTTTTTGCCTGATTTGCTCCTACAAGGTTTTCCAATAGTCGGGCCCATCGCCCGTTCGAGGCGATGGGGCCCATATGATAAAGATCAACCGCATGTTAGGATCGAGCATGCATGTTCTAGGGCCTGGGCCTTGAGAGCGAAGATCGTCTCTCGTGTTCGAGGGGTTTGTGTTTCCGAGAACTTGAAAAAGATCTGGGATGCCACCCTGGAAGATGTGGCCGAGGGATCCACCATCGGTCCTTTTCAGCATGAACATGAGATCTCCAGGCTTCTCGCTTGCGAAGACTGGATTCCGACGCAAAGGTTTGAGGTTGTTCAACGTAACAAGGTTCGAGGCTGCGACAGTGCCACAACTAACCTCATTAATCAGATCACGGTGATCACCGAGAAGCTGCAACTTCCCTCGGCCGACTCGAACGTTGCAGCTCTCCGCAAGATGCGTTCGCTTATGCCAGATGCGAGATTTGCGGGTTGGGTGCTCGACGAACGCAAAGCCTACCGCCAGGTGGCTATTCGACCGTGCCATAGGAAGTTCAGTGTAATTTGTTTGAAGAATCCCAGCTCGGGGAAGCCGGAGTTCTTCATCATGATCGGTCACTCGTTCGGCCTCGTCTCTGCAGTCTATAATTACAATCGTAGGTCTGCAGCCATTAACGAGGTGCTCGTTAGCTTGTTCAACTTAGTGACCTTCTCTTTTTATGATGATAAATACGGTTTCGAGCCCTTTGAGACTGTTCAGTCGGCTTTCGAAATTGCGCAGAAAGTGCACTGGTGGCTCGGAGCCACGTTCGATGCCAATAAGCTGCAGCTCTCGTCTCAGCCGACGATCTTAGGTGTTACCTACAACCTAGACGACTGGATCCTCGAGATCAAGGCCTCTCGCCGAGAAGAGCTCGTGGAGGAGATCGAAAGCATCTTGGCAGAAGACCTGCTTGAGCCTGGTCAGGCTGGGAAACTTAAGGGTAAGTTAATGTTCGGAGCAAGTCAGCTCTGGGGGAAAGTCGGTCGAGCTTTTCTCAGAGTGCTCTCGGAAAGGCAATACGCTCGTGTTGCCGTCGGTGACAGGTTCGGGTTAGACCCACCGTTGAGAGAGTCGCTGAACCAGTGGCTCAAGCTCGTTCGAGATGGGCCCCCGAGAACGATCGATTGCTGTCCTGGAAAGAAGGCAGACGCAGTGTTGTTCACCGATGGTTTTTCACCTGATTTCCGCTCTTCGGATTCTAGACCTGACCGAATAGGGGCGGTGTTTTTCGATCGTAGGCTTTGCTCAGCACTACAGTTCACTTTGCCAGTACCTAAGAAGTTGATGAGGTGTTGGCTCGAGCGGAAGACACAAATCGTGCCGGTTGAAATGCTCGCCCCTATCGTGGCACTCGAAACATTTGCCGATCGGCTTCAAGGAGCAGATCTGTTTTTGTTCACTGATTCCGAAGTGGTGGAAGCTGCTCTTGTTAAAGGTTACTCGAGTCGTGAAGACCTCTGCACGCTCGTGTCAGTCTTTTGGGATTTGATCCTGAGCCTGCGGGTTCGTGTTTTCATTGATCGAGTGGCCACAGACGCCAATCCGGCAGATGCCCCGTCAAGAGATGATTTGACGACGGGGTCGAACGCTGGCTGGCTCACAATCGAGACTGCCTGGCCCGAGCAGCTCGTTCGAGACTAGCGCAACGATGTGTCTAAAAGGTGTGTGGTCGTAAGGGGGGGCCTGGGCAAGAAGGGAGCGAATCCTGGTCTTGTTCAAGTTTCATGTTTCGTCACCTGTTCAGTTTAGGGCTCGCGAAGAGGTCGCTTCGTGAAGGAGCTTTTTCCCTGAACTGTTACGGTTGGTGATCAATGCCCTCTTTGACCCCTCTTTATAGACGGATCGTGTCCGGGGGTTACGTCCCCATGCTTGTAACCTCTCGGATCAAAACAGCTTGCGGCGTGTTTTCCTTTCCGAGGGTTCGTTTTATTGTTTGATCAAAGATGAACAAAGACACTCACTCGTGTCTGGTGCAAACTGGAGAGTGGTTCTCATGTTGTTGGTCTGGTAGGTAGGAACAGGAGGAGCACTTTCGTGTTTGCTGTTCAGCTTGATCGATCGACTTTCGTTTCCTCTCGATGCCATTTTGGCGAGAGATCATTGCCAGGCAAGAACACCCAACCCTGCCCACCCTGTAGCGTTATGCTGCGGGGTGCCAAGGCAGGCAGGCACGCGCAGAGAACTGTTTCAAGTTCACAGTTCTGTCCAGATCGGGGTGAGGGCAAGAAGGGAGCGAATCCTGGTCTTGTTCAAGTTTCATGTTTCGTCACCTGTTCAGCTTAGGGCTCGCGAAGAGGTCGCTTCGTGAAGGAGCTTTTTCCCTGAACTGTTACGGTTGGTGATCAATGCCCTCTTTGACCCCTCTTTATAGACGGATCGTGTCCGGGGGTTACGTCCCCATGCTTGTAACCTCTCGGATCAAAACAGCTTGCGGCATGTTTTCCTTTCCGAGGGTTCGTTTTATTGTTTGATCAAAGATGAACAAAGACACTCACTCGTGTCTGGTGCAAACTGGAGAGTGTTCTCAAAAACGTTGTTCTTCAAAGACCGCCATCTTCGTGAAGCATTGTTTCCAGGGTCCAGGGAGTCCAGCATAGCAAGACAACCGGAAATACCCTCGGTCGGCATTCGTGACGCTATGCGAAGAAAGGACTACACCGTGCTCTGTCACGGTTTCATTCCTGAAAAGCGTGATGAAGTCCGGTCACCAGTGCATTGGTGGTCTGACGGTCGCAGCACCAGCAGCTCTGTCGGACAGAGCCTTGGTCAGAGATCCGTCTAAAACCCTGCTTCAATAACCCTTAAAATCTATTGAAAACACATTTGAAGAAGGCTACCTAAGTGGCTACCTATATTACCGACTTCATTAACTGCAAATAGTATTTCACTTGTGGCCCTGGCTGGAGACATTGCTCAGCCCTCTTGTTCAACTTGTATTATACGGCAGATAGTGGAGCATGTAAGCAGTCCTCGTGTCAGCCTGTGCATCTACAGCCTACGGCCATTTCACATCACTTTGGGTATGTGATCTTGCTTAGAGAAAACGAACTGTGTTAAGAAGATCCACATACATATAAATATGATGTGGTCAATGCGGTCTATTTATATCGTGTGAGATTTCGTAAATTCATGCATGCATCCATCAATACTGACTTACGTTTACACTAGCCAGGTCATCTCTTGGGTCTGAACACTTTATCTAAAGGCTCAGGAAGCCGAGCTCGGAGTATAGATAGTAAGCCAAAGAACTCCGCAATCAAACGATGCCAACAACAGACACAACCCTTGCTGAGATTGGCAGGCACCACTGATTCAGTGCCGTTGGCTGAATCAAAACTTGTTGAGGGTCCAGCTACAGGGGGGCAACAAATGGAACGACATACTGTGACATACACAGCCACATAGTAGCCTCATGTGTTGCACATGGGTGGCTTTAATCAAGAGATGCTATTTGTGTCCTACCAAGCTCCAGGTTTGGCCGGCCCTCCATCACAATATACTACAACTGCTCTCACTACCTCGGAGAGAATGATTCGCTGTGCCTGGTGTCCATCCGCATTCTCACAGGTAGAAAACATCAGATTCGTGTGCACTCCGCACATATTGGCCATCCTGTGACCTGGGAAATTGATGAACCTTTTTTGTTGTGATTTGGTTTGATTTTGTGGTTTGACTTCATGGTCGATCTTCATAGACGAAGCTTTGGAAAACAAGCACCACCCAGCTTAGGTGGTTTGTGACGAGAGATATTCTGCAGAGAAAACATATCGATCAGATATGCATTGGTGTCCAAGAAGCTTTTTGCACCGTTCTAGCCTTCAATTTCGGGCCGAAGGCAGAATTGTGACAGTTTCGCTGCTTGGATAAGTTGAAGGCAGCCTTCTGGATTTGATTTGCTGATCAAAGTTTGGTGTGAGTGTCCATTGGCAGCTCCAACTTCCATGTCAATAAACTAAAACATGCACCGGTTCTCTATGGACAAAATGACAAATGAGGGACTGACAGACGCTACTAGGGGCTCCTGGCCTTACTCCTAGGAGCAAGGACGCTATTAAGGTGGAGGCCATCGCTACTGGACTCGAAGAGGGAGATGGCCGGAGTGAGAAGATTTGCAATCTTTTTTCGAGCGAGAAGGTGTACTCATGGAAGTAGGGACTGTTTGCACTTTTCCATGGGTTTGTGTTGTGACAAGCTCCGCAAGGTGTTACATTGTTGGGTGTGTTTTTGATAGTTATGAGTGATGAGTCTGTAGATCGTGTAGAACCTTTGCTGGGCTGAGGTGGTTGTCTTTGTACTGAGGTCATGTGTCCCAAATGATTTGGCCAGAGCGCTTCGATCCTGTAGACCCATTGTGCGGTCGGAAAGCTGCGTGTTGCGGAAGTTGCCATTGACCATGCGTGTTTGCTACTAGTAACAAGGGCATTACTACTAGGAACAAGAAGCTACTAGTAACAAAGGGCATCTCTAGTAATAACACGAAGCTACTAGTTGCCATTATTTCAGATTTCCTCGTTGCCAGGCAGGAGAGCTCAGCCGACCCTTTGACAAAGCTGCAGAGGCCCAAGATTGGTTGGCTTTGACATGGCATGTCAAACAAAAACACAGGTACAGGTCCTGCAGCAATGCTTTGAACCTTTCGAGTATGGTGTTGGGTGGTCGGGTTAGATTTTCTTCAAGACCCAAGAAAATTTGTGCAAGGGCCAGAACTTCAAGTTGTGCAGCAAGCAGTAGGAGGTGTAATTTGGTGGGGGGATGAATGTTTCAGCGGACAACATGACGGGTTGGACATTTGAAGCATCGGAGCCGGAGCAAACAACTCACCCATTCAAAATTTGTCTAGATCAGCCAAGAGTTCATTAGTTGTGTAAAGCTAGCACCTGCTTTAATCAGAACACTTCCCGCACGTTGCAGGTGCTGGGCAAAATTTCTCGGCTCCGAGCAGAGCGTGAGCAGCGGGACAAGGTTTGCGTTTGCCTTGCTAGTAAGTACCGATTTAGGCACCATGGAAGTTGTTGCTTTTCTTTGTTGAGACAAGAGATGACAAGAGTATTTGTTTTTGTTGTTGTATAGACCTAGGCCTAGCTGTTGGTCGCCAAGTTCAGTCACCTTTTCAGGACTTCGAGATTCTTCAGGAGATCATGGGCCCTCCAACAGAACGCAGCCAAGCAGTAAGGCCAGCAGAGGTTCTACAGAAGCGTGCTCGCAAGGCGTGGTTTGCACTCCAGACATTAAGAAAACAGGATCCCAAGCTTCACAGATGCTGCAGATATGTCGCACTGAAACATTTTGTTCATCAAATGCATATCGACTTGTGAGTTAATGATTCTTCTTGCTTGCAGGTTCCTGTGATGAACTTGAGGTACCAAAGCTTGCAGCCAGGATCGTTGGACCCTCACGTCGGAGCTTGTGTGACAAGCAGAATGCAGTGGGCAAACGTGGGCAAGACCAAGCTTTTAAACCTGGGTTCTGTCCATCGAGAAGCGGCTCAAACCAATGATCTTTGGAGGGAGACATTTGCAAACCCAGGCCCACCAATCGCCCTGATGGTGAGCGAACATCCGAGGTTGTGCTATTTTGCTGCGATCGGAGACGCAACTACTGTCCAGTATCTTTTGGACCAGGCATTCTTGATCAGCAAAGGTTTACGAATTACTGAATGTGTTGGAACTGGCTGAGTACAGTAAATTAACAACGTATTTGTGCAAAAGGTGATAGTGATGAAGGCACAGAACACACCGATGTGAGACTTTGATTTGCCAGGCTCAAAGATGCGGAGACGTGTTCTTTGTAAACAGCCGGCAACTTGGAGCTTCGTACTGCTCAGCAGCTTGGCCTCGGGCTTCACAGAGCTTCCCAGTGACGATGAGAGGTACTGACAGTGAGACACGACGACGAACAGCCCTCCACTATGCTGCCCATCAAGGATCCGTCGAGGCTGTTTAACGAATCTTGTGATGAACCAAACAGTACCTTTTGACACGTTCAGAGCATCTATACTTGCTGTCAATCGTCGGGTGCTTTTATGGATTCAATCCAATTTGGCAAAGACAAATTGCATGAATTGTTTTTATGTACACTTCTGTGAGCTTTGGCGGTAGTTGCAGTGTCCATATTTGCAATTAAAGAAACACAAGGTTGTAGTATTAGTACGTCTTGTAACTTTATCATGATACTGTCGCCGAAATGGCGCGTGTGAATCGAGTCACAGGTTGTGGAAGCCTTACTTGAAGGTGGCGCGGACACGATGCTTCGTGATACCCAGGATGTCTTGGTGTGCACTGTGCTTGAACTTCACGCGTTTTATATTCCCCCTGGCGTATGAGTTAACACCTGCAAGTGTTCTACAAGATGTTACGAGCTTACACTTAGCGGTGACTCTGTAGCAGTAGAAGGCATATATAGATTGTCTAAAAGCACCTATACTTATATATATACTGCCTAAAGAACTTAGTTTGGTGAGTCACGTTGTTTGTTTGGGTTCCCATGTCTTCCATATCCAGTGGCTAAATCATGCTTGCAATACAAGGGGCCCGCCAGTGAGGACCGTACACCATCGCATGTGGCGACCTCCAGGGGCCAGGCTGGAGACGCTTCCCTGCCTAGGGCCTAGTAGCGTCCTTGCTCCTAGTAGCGATGCCAAGAGCCCCTAGTAGCTTCTTGTTCCTAGTAGTAAGGCCAGGAGCCCCTAGTAGCGTTAGGGTCAACAATTATGCCAAGGGTGGCTTGTGCATTTTGGTGAGACATTTGGATGATTTATATGTGGTGTGTAGCTTCTTCATGTTCCTTCTTCCCTCACAATGCTACAGTATAACTTATGACTTATGACTATACTGCGTTACTGCAAGTGATGCCTGTTAGCAAAGTTCAGCGCCCCAAGCATCTGCAGGTGGAGGTGGTGCGCTTGCTGGTTGGTACTGGCGTGTACAGGTGGATGTGTTTCAGTTTTCGCTTCGACATCATTCCCCTTCAGTGGAGGAGCAGAAACAGCACAGAGATTGCCAAGTCTGTGTTGATGACTGTAGCAACCCTGATATTTTTTTGATATGGTATAGTCACACCCGAGATCCTTTCGGAAGCCCTTTAGCCTGAGCTCAGGCTGCGGGCTGCTGCTTGGGCCCGCTTCCAGGAGCTTCGTTTGGATTCTCAGAGGATGGAACTTGAAAATGGAAGAAGGAATTGTTATATATATATATATGCGAATGCACAACGAAAGGCGGAGCCAGCAGTCGATGCGCGCTCCCTTTTTGGTCAAACCGCGGGGGCTTGAGTGCTGAGTGTAGCCGACATGAATTCCGGACCTGCAGACTGACTGGAATTTGCACCGGTGGACATCTAAATTTAACAAAAAATTAACTTTCCATAGGTTTTATCCCTTCAGCTTTTCGGCGTCGTGCCGACTTCATTTTCTCATCGTATACTATCCTCCACTTTTGGCCCATCTGGAAGTACAAATGGATTTGACCCTTTTCCGTAGGTTTTGTGAGTGAATTTCCTAGTTGAGCATCGGAATGCACCCACCTGATCATGGTTCCAGAGTCTGTTGCTGAATCCTTCAATGCAAGAGCTTCTATCGTGGCCCGTTTCTCTTCACCCTTAATGGTTGGTGTATCCTTGTCCATGCGATCATAGAGGTTCTTACTGTCTGTCACCACAATTCCTGGAGAAAGCATGACTATGTTGTCTGCTGAAAGCCGCATCAAACAGCCCGGTGGATGATTGAGCTCGGACCATAAATATCTCATGTGATAAAGTTCATCCTCCGCATTGACAACAGCATGAATCTCTGCGCATGCTGGGGATCTGCATTTCCGGCCGATCTTGCTCTGGGTGCTTTGTGGCTGTGAGAGCGGGATCTGACATCTCTGCATCAGGCTGGCTGGATGCCGGCGGCATCTCCACATCCGGACTGAAGCAATTTTCTTGCTATCTGGGATTGCAATCTCTAACCAGGATGGCTGGGTGATGGTCAGGACAACAACAATTTTGGTGGGCTGGGGTCACATCATGACTGGCTCCAATTATTTATGCTTCTGGCAGATTGCTGTCACTGCCTTGTGCTCCAAAATGATTTGCTTGCAAAATTGATGCCAGCCTTACTACCATCCTCCCGTCCAAGGACATGGGTGATGGTGATGTTTAGGATTGGCTCCAATTGTTATGCTCATGGCACAATGCTGCCTTGCCTTGCCGCCCCCCCCTCTCCAAGTTACTACTACTACTACTACTACTACTACTACTACTACTACGGAGTCCTTCAAGCGCAATAGAAGCCCCATAGGCAGAGATTCTAAGATTGTTTCCATTTTTCTAAAAATGTCAATGAATGTGTGGGGCTGGTGTTTCCATGGTCCATCCCACAGTTGACAGTCCAACAGTTTACAGTATGTTGTTTGCTGTCGGGGCGGTCGACTCGGAATGCGCGCGGCTTTGACGCACAGACAACCCACCAGTTTTTTCTCCAGCTTCCGCTGCCGTTTATTGGGCGTGCCGCCGGGCCGTCATGGTGTTCAAGCGGCAGATTTCCACGCTGAGTGATTGGCCAGGTGCTGAGTATACCAATCGGAGGTGGTGATTCTTTCACGCTGTGTTGCAACCGCGGAAAAAACAACGCGGTTTGCAAGGCCGGTTGGTGATGAAAGTTGTGGGCCGAAGAAGCCCATGGCAGCAGCACTGGCAGCAGCGCTCCCAGCTTGGACCAACCTGTTAATCGATTGTTGCGCGCTTTTATGCCGTCTGCAGGGGAAGAGAGTTCGGAAGAGATCCAAAAAACCTGCTCAAGCTCGAGTCTGCAGCTCAAACCTAATCCAAGCGTGATTACAATATGTCTTCCAATATCCGAATCTTTAAGGTCAAGCAGATGCGGAGATCAAAAAAGATCTTTACGAATACCGTAGATTCCTCAGATATTATATTTGCTTGATTGAGGATGTTTGAGGATACAGTTTCTTCAGCTTTGCGCTGAGGCCCGGCGGCTTGGTCGAGATGAACGAGTGCCACGTTTCGGGTACGTGGAACCTGGCGATGTGACGAAGTGGGTTTCTGGATTTGATCCAGATTGGTTTCATGGCATTGTTCCAGACTGCGGACCTCTCAATATGAAGTTAGATTCTTGCTCCAAAAAGATGTTTTGATTTTGTTGTTCCATGAATGCGCGGCTAGGTTTGTACATTCTTGCAGGTTTTACAAACTGCTTTTTTTGAGGTGCCACCGAAGGTTCCGAAGCCCAGAGGTAAATGCCCTGCACTTCAGACGACCCCAATCGTGCGGAACGCTTTTGGAAGCATCAGCTACTTGTTGAATAAAGATTCAACCACTGTGGGTGACCGTGCGTTGCTTCTTCCGTTTTTCCCTCACGTTGTGTTTCATGTTGGCTCAGGGTGTTTTTCGACCACCTATGCCGCCACCACCAGCCACTTAAGCAAGCGCGGCTGTCAGGAGCTGTCGCCTGCGTGTCCCTGTTTTTGACATAGTTTTGATTGGTCCTTTGTCATTTTAGTTGGGAGGACTTGGCTACGCA